GGGGGCTGTGCCTTGCTGTCTGTACCTCTGATCCTAACAGAAGGGGTAAAGTGAAGCCACTGGCCAAGGCCAAGAAGGACAGGCTCAGAGCCATGTCCCAGCAGTGCCAAGTGGTCCTCACTGCCACCTGGCCCTTGGTGCGTGTGTTGGTGTGTGTGTGGGGGGGGTCACAGAAGCACTTTTAGACAGGTTCTAAGATGGTACCTGATAACTCAGAAGAGAGGAACATCACCTCCTGCTGGTCACCGAGAAACCTCAGGACACCCCTGTCACCCCCAAAAAAGGAAACTTGATGCCTTGTGGTCCGTTCCCTCCCGGAGCACCCCGGCAGCCAGTGGCCCACGCTCCATGTTGGTGGACTTGCTTCCTCGGTGAAATCCTGCCTTGAGGGTCTCATCCTGGCTGTGACATGGATCGAAGCTCTGTTCCTTTTCAGGGTTAAACCATATTCCATCTGTGTGATCCTCAATATCTCATTCCACTCTTGAAGGACCTTAGGGTGTGCCTGGGGCTCTCCTGCCTCAGAATGTTCTGGACAGGGTTTGTGTTGTTTCAAGACAAGGTTTCTCTCTGTAGCCCTGGCTGTCCTGGAACTCACTCTGTAGACCAGGCCGGCCTCAAACTCACAGACACCCGCCTGCCTCTGCTTCCCGAGTGCTGGGATTAAAGGCGTGCGCCACCGCCACCCGGGTCCATGTCTTTGATTCTCTAGGCTGGAGGCCTAACAGGGAGACTGTCGTTACATCAACTCAGGCTGTTTCTAATCCTTCGGTCCACTCTATGCTGTGGACCCTGAAGTTCCCAGAACCCCCCCACCCCTACCTCCTCACCTCCCCCACCCACCCCCACCCCCGCACCCACGCCCGCCCTCAGCTGAGCCGTCCCTTCTCCACAGGCCTTCACAATCATGGACCAGAACAGAGATGGCTTTATTGACAAGAATGACCTGAGAGACACATTTGCTGCCCTAGGTATGTGGCACGGACCCTGTACAGGGGTTGCCTTCCCGAGCCAAGGTGGGGGGTGGGGGGTGGGGGGTATGGGCACCAAAAGAAGCCAAGAGCCCATCTGTCAGCTGCCACCGGCCTTTGGGAGTAACTCCAGTGGCCTTTGCATGCTTCTCCTTTCCATTTAATCCAGGGTGTGTGTGGGAGTGGCGGGGGGGGGGGGGCAAGCCCATGGGGGTGGAGACAGAGATTTTATAAAACATTCCTGGCTCAGAACAGAAAATTCAAACTACTCAGAAAAGCGTAAAGGAGGAAACAGAATTCCCCAGAAGGCTATGCTCTGGTCAACACTTGAGTCTCAATCCTTGTCTGCTTGTCAAGTTACTGGGGTCACCCCGTTTGGGATTTTGGCTGATTTGACAGCCCAACAGTGTGAGCCTGCCTCCCGGGTCCCCCTGCTCTCACCCTCAGAACTCAGGCCCCCAAGGACAGCTCGGGGAGTCGTGAGCCGCACAATTCACCTTCGTGGCTGCTCCAGCTTTTTATTTTTAAAAACGTAGTCTTCAGGAGGGGACGGCTTTGACTAGTTTACACAAAGACAGGGTGCCAGGGCAGAACACCTCAGCTGACAGGCATTTCTTACCCATTTTAGAGGTTTCGGGCCTGAAGACATTATTTATTCATTTAATGAGCCCAGGTCTTGTGTAGCCCAGGCTAGCCTCAACCTCACTCTGTAGCCTAGGAAGACCTTGAACTTCTGGTTCTCCCTAGTGCTTAGATTACAGGCATTTGCCACCACACCTGGTTTATGTGGTGCTGGGGTGGGACCCGGGGCCTCATGCATACTAGGAAACAATCCCCTGAACCATGTCCCCAGCCTTGAGGACACTGTTTTAGCCATCCCTCTCCACGTCAAAGGCTGGCTAGCTGCTACAGAACACTGCTGAGAACATCTGCCCTAGGTCTGTCTGTCTGTCTGTCTGTCTGCCTCTGTCCCTGTCTCTCTCTCTCTCTCTCTCTCTCTCTCTCTCTCTCTCTCTCTCTCTCTCACACACACACACACACACACACACACACACATACACCCCTCTGTCCCTGATGGTTCCCAGACCAGCTTCCTGGAAGCCGGATCACAAGGGCCGCCGCTGTCCCCTCCCAGCTCTGAACCCCGGCGTCTCCCACTAGGACGAGTGAACGTGAAAAATGAAGAGATCGATGAAATGATCAAGGAGGCTCCAGGTCCAATTAATTTCACCGTGTTCCTCACGATGTTTGGGGAGAAACTTAAAGGTGAGCTTGTGTGTGTGTGTGTGTGTGTGTGTGTGTGTGTGTGTGTGTGTGTTCACCTCTGGGCATGAATTAAGCTCTAGAAGAGACAGCATGGGCGAAAGGTGGGCAGCTCACAAGTGGGAAAAGAGCCACTGAAAACCAGCCGTGGAAGGGCTGGAGAGACGGCTCAGTCGTTAAGAGCACCGGCTGCCCTTCCAAAGGACCCGGGTTCAATTCTCAGCTCCCACATGGTGGTTCACGACCACGTGTAACTCCGGTTCTAGGGGACCCATGCTCTCTCTGGGCACCAGACACACATGTAGTGCACAGACAGACATGCAAGCAAAAGACTCATACACATAAAAAATAATAATAAAAATAGCATAAAAAACAGGGCTGCTGGTTCAGCTGGTGGAGCTGTTTCCGGCAGGGGGCGCTGCTCCAGCACAAGTGTGGAGGGGGGATGTGTGTGTGTGTGTGTGTGTGTGTGTGTGTGTGTGTGTGTGTGTGTGTGGTGTTCCTCTAGCTAGGGTCACTCCTCCAGCAGGGGGCGCTGCTCCAGCAAGGGGCTATTTCCAAGTCCTCTACCCAGTCTTGGGCTGCTGCTCCACTTCAATTACTGACATTTTTGGTAGCACCTGAGTGGCTGGCTCTACCTTTACCCCCTCAGGACATGGCGGGTTCAGAGAGAGAGAGAGAAAGCCAACATGCTTGGCGCTCCCCGCAGCCCACAGAGTCCAAGAGTCAGAATGCTCAGTCTTATTCTCGAAGCCTCTCTTGGATTTGACTTCCTGTTGTCGCCTCCGCCTTCTCTAGAGATCTTGTTCTTATTTACGTATGTATGAGCGTGCACAGCACATGCGCGCAGTGCCCACGAGGGGCAGAAGAGGTGGGGTCACAGGAAGTTGTGAGCTGCCAATGTGGGTGCTCCAGAACAGCAAGCCAACTCCCCAGGCCCTCTTGCAAACCCAGATCTCCCTGAGGGAAGTGCCCTGGCCCTGGCCCCTGTGGCTCAGGGGGGCCTGGGTCTGCTTGCTGCGGCCCCGACAGATGGGTGAGCCGACCTTCTCTTGCAGGGGCTGACCCCGAGGAGACCATTCTCAACGCATTCAAGGTGTTTGACCCTGAAGGCAAAGGGTCGCTGAAGGCTGACTAGTGAGTGGCTTCTGAGGGAGGGGGGGGTCCCCACGTTCCACCCCCGACATATGTCACCATCACCTGCTGCTCTCTCCTCTCCTACAGTGTCCGGGAGATGCTGACCACACAAGCAGAGAGATTCTCCAAAGAGGAGGTACAGGGTCCCCAGGGTGCCCACCGCCCAGCCCCCTTCACAGGAGCTCTGTGTCACTCGGGTGTACATCACCCGAGAGAACCATCCCCCTCATCACTCATGGGACTTTAGAGTTTAACCTCACTGTGCCTCAGTCTCCCCACCTGTCAAGATGGAATGAGAACATAATCCTCTGGCACTCCGTGGTATTCACAGTGCACAGTACCATCACAGGGCCAGGGCACAATGTCTTTTGGTGGTTACAAGTTCGAACCAACCAGGCCTCATGACACAGGCCTGCCATACCAGCTACCCAGAGAAGCTGATACAGTAAGATTACAGGTTTCAGGCCTGCGCAGGCGACAGAGTTCAAGGCCAACCTGGGCAACTTGGTAAGGCCTGTCACCAAATAAGAAATGGACAAAGCTGTAGCTCAGAGTTAGAGCACTTGCCTGGTTCCATCCTCAACACTGAAAGATTGAGAAGAGTGGGGGCGGGGTGGGTGGAGGGACCAATAGTAACCATTCAAACCGTGTGTGTGTGAGGGGGGGGGGGTGCCTTTTAAGACAGGGTCTCAGCTGGGCAGCAGTGGCGCATACCTTTAATCCCAGCACTCGGGAGGCAGAGCCAGGCGGATCTCTGTGAGTTTGAGGCCAGAGTGAGTTCCAAGATAGCTAGGACTACACAGAGAAACCCTGTCTCGAAAAAGAAACAAACAAAAAGGTCTCACTGCACAGCCCTGGCTGGCCTAGAATTTGCTACTTAATCCAGGTGACTCTAAATGCCCAGTCCTCTTGTCTCTGCTCCCCTGTGCTGGGATCACAGGCACCATTATGCCTGCTTCATCCAATACTTTTGGGGGGATTTCGAGACAGGGTTTCTCTGTGTAGCTTTGTGCCTTTCCTGGATCTCGCTCTGTAGACCAGGCTGGCCTTGAACTCACAAAGATCTGCCTGCCTCTGCCTCCTGAGTGCTGGGATTAAAGGCGTGCGCCACCACCGCCCAGCCCAATACTTTTTTAAACAGGGAGACTGCGTGTAAAATAACCCACCTTGATTTCTGGTTTCCCTCCGAGAAGAGGACCTCTCTGGTCACATGACCACCACTGGTCTTAGGCCTGCATTTAGCCACGGTCCTTACCAGGCCCTCTCACACCCGAGCCTGACCTGCCTAGCCCCCTGTGCAGCTGGATATCCTTTTTCTCCTGCAGGGGGTCTGGGGTGTCTAGGGGACCTTGGGGGGTCACCCTGGGGAATAGAGGCAGGGATGGTCATGACCCAGGAGCATGGGGACACAGATGCTGAGCCAGGACAGTAGCCCGGGCTGAGTGCCCCGGGAGCTGGACTTTCTAGACCTGCAGACTGCCTCTCCCGCCTCAGTTCTGGTGACAGATGTCACAGGGAAGGCCTGGCTTGTGGAACGGGGGTGGGGTGGGGGTGTGGGGGGGTCCTTCAGGTCTCTCCTGGGACCCCAGGCGCTCTCTTCTCCTTGCCGCTCTCCTTGTCTCTGTAACCCACTGTTCTTGCCCTCAGATCGACCAGATGTTCGCAGCCTTTCCCCCAGATGTCACGGGCAATCTAGATTACAAGAACTTGGTCCACATCATCACCCACGGGGAAGAGAAGGACTGAGTGAGCCCTGAGCCACGGCTCCAGGTGACCTACAGCCAGCTCTCCGGCCCAGACCCTGCCGCCCTGTGCACATAGGTGCACCAGCCTGCAGGTGCACACCATCCCAAGGCCGCGTGCAAATAAACACCAAGTCTTGGATCTAGTCATGGTGGCTGTCGGCTCATTGGGCCCGCGTAGCCAAACTCACAAAGTATTTGGGTTTGTGTGAAGGCTACAGGATTCTCACTTCGGAAAACAAATGACTTTTGCCTGGTGCGGCAAAATCCCAGCCCTCGGGAGGCAGAGGCAGGCAGAGCTCTGAGTTCAAGGCCAGCCTGGTCTACGGATCGAGTTCCAGGATGGCCAAGGGCTACACAGAGAAACCCTGCCTCAAAAAAAAAGAAGAAAAAGAAAAAAAAAAATAATCGGGTTCCAAAAGCTCAGAAGTCCATGGGCTTCAGAAGCAGCTGCATCCAGGAGTGGCCAGTGCTAGCTCCTCTCTCTCTCTCTCTCTCTCTCTCTCTCTCTCTCTCTCTCTCTCTCTCTGCCTGGAGGCGGCTCTTCCCTTAGCTCTGTTTGCGTTCTGGAGCCCAGCCCTTAAAGGTGGCGGGGGGTGGGGGGAAGGGGGGTAAGGCACAGCATGGGCATGGTGGTGCACACCTTTAATCCCAGCACTCGGGAGGCAGGGGCAGGAGGATCTCTGTGAGTTCCAGACTTAGACTGGTTTAAATAGTGATTTCCAGGCTAGCCTGGGCTACATAGTGAGATCCTGTCTCAAAAAACCAAACCAACTGGTGGCAGTCTCTGGCTGCCCTGACCGGGGCCTTTACATAGCCCTAGAGCTGAGTCCCCATGGATGAACTGAAAATGGGAAGCCAACTTCAAGAGAATCACTAGGACCAAACATGGTGACATCCAAGGCTAGCCTGGGTTTACACAGCAAAGCCCTGCCTGAGAGAGAAGGAGCCGACACCCCCATACCCAGGGTCAGATCCAGCCTTGCAATCGATGAGGTCCCCATGGGCCCCTTGCAGGAAGCTGAGATTCAAAAGGTGCGCCCCCCAAACTCTGCACTATCCATACCCCACCTATGGCCTCAGGGACACCCATTCTTCCAGAAGCAAGGAGATTAGGACCCCAGATTTTGAACCCCATCCTTCTCACCCCACCGCAAAGCTGGTTTCCAGCCCCCAGAGCTCCCCAGCACAGCAGATGGAAAGGCCCTGGGGCTCAGGAAGCAAACATTTATTCTCTCTGGGTGTGGACCACGGCCACCTGCAGCTCAGCCTATCACCTTCTTCTTGCCCCTGAGTTCATCCGCCTTCTCCAACAGGGCGTCCTGCGGGTCCTTGCCTCGGTCCTTCTGAAGGTAGTTCTCCAAGACCAGCTGCCGGAGGCTACTGTGGTCCAGGGGATGTTCCACTGCACCCGGGACAGAGCACTGTGAGGAACTGGGAGGTGATGCCCAGTTCACTCCCTTCCCGGGGACAGTGCCACTCCACCAGGCTGGGCTGGGCACGGGGCGGAAAGCCCTTAAGAGTGCCAAGCGGAGATGTGCCCTCAGGGAATTCTCAAGCAAGAGTGGGGGACCCCGCTGGTTTAATAGCAAGGACAAAGCTGGGTGGCAATCTATTTGACTGCCAAGCTATTGCTACCCAGAGGGACATTCGAATGTTTTTGTGGCTGCATAGTACTCCATTTTGTTTGTTAAGTTCTGACTAACTTAATGGTGCATATGCACATGCATGTGTATGTGTGTGTGTGTGTGTGAGTGTGCTTGAGCATGTGTGTATGTGTGCATGAGTGTGTGTGTAAGAGTATGAGTGTACATGTGTGTGTATGAGTGTGTGTATGTGTGTGCATGAGTATGTGCATAAGTGTATGAGTATATGTGTGTCAGTATGTATATGAGTGTGTGTATGTGTCCATGGGTGTGTGTGAGAGTGTATGAATGTATATGTGAGGATGTGTATGAGTGTGTGTATGTGTGTGCCTATGAGTGCGTGAATGAGTGTATATGCATGAATGAGTTGTGTTTATGAGTGTATTTTATGAGTGTGAATGTGAATGAGTGTATGCAAGGTGTGAGTATGTGCATATGACTGTGTGAATCTGTGTTTATGAGTGTGAGTGTGTGTTTATACATGTGATGAGTGTGAGTGTGTGTTTATGAGTGGTGTGTGTGTGTGTGTGTGTGTGTGTGTGTGTGTGTGTGTGTGTAGGGTCCTTTGCTTGTTTCTGGTTTGGGGCTGCAGTGAATAAGTTTGTACTTTACTCAACCTCTGTTTTCCGTAAGGATCTGTTCTCATCTGCGTTTTCAAACAAGGGGTCACAGGGTGATGATCGCTCACACAGGGTGATGATCACTCACACAGGGTGACGATCACTCACACAGGGTGACGATCGCTCACACAGGGTGATGATCGCTCACACAGGGTGACGATCGCTCACACAGGGTGATGTCGCTCACACAGGGTGATGATCGCTCACACAGGGTGATGTCGCTCACACAGGGTGATGATCGCTCACACAGGGT